ATTACCAAAGAACCGGGGCCTTTGACATCTGCAAAACCTCATTAGGTAAGTGCTAACTGGTCCCTTCTGCTAGGCCTAGCACTCGTAAATGTACTGTGACGAGGGTGATGTGCTTCTGAGAATGTACATGATAAATTATCAGGAAGCTGCATTTTAATATCACTTAGCACCTCATTTGCCCTGCAGCAGACTGCGTGGCAAACATTGAAGATAACTGGTTTGGGCTGGCACTCAGGCCACAGCGTATGCAGAGGTACAAAGAAGGCAGGTGTTCCCCGAGTGCCTGGCTCCCATCCCTCCTGACTTACCCACCATCGTCCAGAAGCTAAAGAAAATTGGGGCTTCTTTTTGTAGCCAGCCCCCTGCAGACTGCAGCACAGGGCTATTGCGGGGAGGCACTGGGTAAACATTTGTTGAAATGTGGAGTCATGAATAAATGAACGGACAAGAAACCCTGGAAGGTGCCTTTCCACCAGCCAGCAACAGTGTTTGGAGTTGCTCTACCGGCTTCTTCTTAAAATCTCCCAATAATACAAAGAAGGTTCTATCAGCAAAACCTAGCAAGTGCTCTTCAAAAACCAGAGAAAGAAGGACGAGCTGGGGTGGGGTTGAGGGGCAGGTATGCAGAACCAAAAATGGCCTTTCCTCCACCAGATACATGTATACTGGCTAGGGACGCCAATCAAGGATGTCCAGCCAACAGTTGAGTAGAGGCCATTTCCTCAAAAATGCATCCCAGCACCAGAGAGGCAGAAAGTCAGGTAGATCTCTGAGTGCAAGGCCAGCCAGGTCTACAGAGCAAGTTCCAGGACAACCAGGGCTACCCAGAGAAGCCCTGTCTCAAAAAGCCAATAGAGAGAGAAAGAGGGGCGGAGGGGAGAAAGAAAAGGAAAAAATGAAGAAGAAAAAAAAAAAAGCGTATCGCCTACTAAAAGAAAAGGGTTTTACTGTTCATTCTAGACCAAGAACAAGACCCCGCACACCATACCCCAGAACCCCCGTTAGGCACTCACTTCCTCAGGGGAGAGCTGCTGAGCACCGGGAGGGGCTGTAGATGGTGTATGTGACTGGTGTGAACCCTGGCAGGGCTCAGCGACCTGCAGCCTGAGCATCGAAGTATCAAGCCATTAGCACCTCCTAAGCCAGCAATTCTCAGCCTTTGCTGTTTGTAAAAATAATCTGGAGGTGCTTGTTTAGACACATCTGGAACTGCACACACCTATTCTGGGTCAGTGGGTGTGAGGTGGGGCCCTGGAACCTGCATTATCCACAGACCTTTATCAAGGGGGGACAGACAGCCTGGCCATTCTTTGTGAGGTCTATTTTGTAGAAGGCCTTTAAGAGGGCGGGGGGGGGGGGGGGCGGGCTGTGCTAAATGTTGCGGGAGGGGCGGGGGCAGTTCTGCTGTGGAGCTGCCCAGCCCAGCAACATGACTGATTAGGCTTGATGGGTCCAGCTGCTTAGAGATCCCCATCCCCTGCCAAGACCGTTGATTTCTGGACAGGTTTCCTGTCCTCACCTGGTCCTGGCCACAGACAGAGCAGCTGACTGCATTCACTAACAGGGAAACTGAGGCCGGCACGTAGCATAGGGTGATGTTTGCACGGAGACACAGCAGGAGCACCGACTGCCTGCCAGGCAGTGTGCTGGGCACTTTCTGTCTAGATTGTCTTTACTGCTCAGACGGAAGCTACTCGAGCAACGTCAGACCTAGCCACAGGGAGGAAGACCGGAGCTTTCAACTCCAAGTCTGTCTCAGTCCTGAGGCCTTTCCAGAAACTGGACCTCTCTCCAGGTGACAGCACTTCCACGCCTCCCCCTTCCTGGGTCCCATCCCATGTCAGCAGGGCTCACGGATGCTAAAATTCACTCAGAATGGGCCTCCATCCTGCCAGCGGCAGGAGCCTGGCCCACACACCGCTTCTCTGGGGGTATGGTAGGGTTCCCTAGTTCAGTTCTCTTTCCCCCTTCTTCTAGCTGTTTCCTAAGAGCTAGCCCCTATGGCACCAAAACTGTGGGCTGTTCTCCCAGAAAGCCACTTTACAGAAGGTCCAGAAGCCAGGAAGAACTGGTTGGCCCCTCTTCCGTCCCACGCTCCTCCAGGAGCCCTCGGATCAGACTGAAAGAACACAAGGTCAGGATTCTGCATATCCAGGCTCCTGTGTCCAGTCCTACTTGCTGGATGCCTGACCATATGAATGAAGCCTGTGTGCTTCAGACGGATGACCTCTTCTCCTCCCTCACTGAAGGGCTTGTGGAGACTGTCTGCTGCTGTCTTCTGATACCCACGTCACCCGTAATCAGTTCATGATGCAGCAGCCACCTCTGGCACAGGAAAAGTCAATAATGTGTGTGTAAGGACTAAGCCCTTTCGTCAGCCTAGAGTGAGAGCCTGCTGAGTCCAAGTGCCTCTACCCCTCCTTAGACTTTGCTCTCGAGAAAGCTGAGCAGCCTCTCTGAGCACCCAGGCTGCCAGGCCAGTCCATCCCCTGTAATCCCTGAGGCTTGGCCCTCTGCCCCGCCCCCTCTCCATCTGGCTGCCCCCATCCTAGAAGCCTCCTGAGGATTCTGAAGAACAAGGCTACCTGTGCAGACAGCTCCACTCTGAGCCACTCCAGCTCTGTAAGGGGGAGGAAGGAGAGGGAGGGGAAAGGAGAATGGAAACATGGGGAGTATCGTTTGAGAAGGAGTCTTTCTGTATAACCCTGGCTGGTCTAGAACCCCTGCATGGACCAGGCTGCCTTCAAACGTGCTAATCCTCCTGCCTGTTTCCTGAGTGCTGGAGTTAGCTTTTGCCACCATACCCAGCCCTCTGTTAGGTCTTAATTGCAGCTCTCTAAAACCAGCATTCTCTCTGGACTGCTCTCTGTGCCTGGGCCTGGACTGTAGAAAGGGAGCAAGAATCCCTGGCTCCGTGCTGGGCAGCAAAAGAATCAGTGGGACGATGGCAGAGTAGGACGTGGTTTCCAAAGACAGGTGGTGATCACTCAAGCACAAAAGTCAGGCTCATGGGAGCAGGCTGTAATCCAGGACTCAAGAGCTGAAGCAGGAGGATCAGAAGTTAAAGGTCAGCCTGGGCCAGGGCGAGGCCAAGAGCAACATGAGCAAATTGGTGAGACCTTGCCTCCAAATAAGAAATACAAAGAGGACTAGATGCAGATTCAAGACCAACCTCAGATAGAATGAGTTCAAGGCCTACTGGGCAACTAGCAAAACCCTTTCTCAAAAAAAAAAAAAAAAAAAATCTTCAGAGGGCTGAGGGTATGGCTCAGTACAGTGTGCCTAGCGTGTGTGAGACCCTAGGTTCAATTCATGGTACCGATAGGAAGAAAAGAAAAATGAAAAGAGGGGAAGAAACCGCATAATCATCTCCATTCTTAACAAGGAAGGAAGATGACAAAGCCAGCCTTTCAAAGCCCCTCAGGCCTGTCACCTTCAAGGCTAATGGGGTCTCACGACACTGCCGGGAAACTGGAATTATTCCCATTTCACAAATAAGGAAGCTGAGATCCAGGGGCTCAGACGACCCCACCAGAACGACACTACCAAGAGCAGCGGTTCTCGGTCTCTTCCTAATGCTGTGACCTCAAGGTATCGTGACCCCAACCAGAAAATCACTGCCATTGCTTCTTCATAAACGTAACTGTGTACTGTTATAAATTGTAATGTCAGTGTCAGTGTTTTCCCACGGTCTTAGGCGACTCTGTGAAAGTTGGAGACACACACACACACACACACACACACACACACCCCATAGGTCATGACCCACGGGTTAAGAATCTTTGCCATGGAGGGACCCAGCCAAAAACGACAAGCTTCTCCCACAGGTCAGTGAGAACCAGAGTAAACAGGATTCCATGCACGCCTGGCTTAGCGGAGACACCTGCGCCAGCAGCAGCCTGTCCCCAGCACAGCTGTTCCCAGGAAGCCAGCAGTTCAGTTGCCTAGCCACGGGAGGAGCCGTGGGCAGGGGGTGTGAGCCAGGCGGCACCTTGCCCTCACACCCAGACTCAGTCATCACCCCAGGAGGCCTCCTCTGCCCTGGCCTGCTTCCCCCTTCCCATCCAGACCGTGCCCTGGCCCAAGTCCTCACCCAGCCTGACCCTGAGGGTCTTTCAAACCATTTAGAGGCTGAATGAGGACCCGGGTCAGGCAGGTCATAGAAGCTCCTGTTTGCATGTGACCTGGGAGGAAGTGAGCAGACTGTCCCCGCATTGTCCTGGGACAGCACAGAGTGCGCGAGTGGTGCCAGGATGTAAACAGCCTGTTCCTGATTTCCTGGGGGGTAAGGGGGGCATAATCTTGCGACCTGCCCACCTGCGTCTGCACAGGTTTTGGAGGAGTTCACGTCCACATCCCCCAACGGCCTCTGTGGCTGTGGGTTCCGTTAGTTGAGCTCGGCACCAAAGCCTGTGCCCTGCGCACCCTTGAGAACATGTGTTTTTGGCGTGCATGTGGCGGCTGGGGAGGTGCGGCCGCTGCGTGCCTGTAGCCTGTAGCCCGGAACCGCTCTCACCTGAGCGTCTCCACGCACATCTGTGTGGTGTGTCTGCGGGGCCCGCACACCTGCGCATGTCCCTCACGGGCCGGCACGGGGGGG